GGGTAGAGCTAGGCAGAAAGTCGAAGAAAAGCATACCCAATGGTGTCAATTTCCTTGAGGCAAGAAGTCAGGTCACCTGCTGAGAATAAGGGACAGCAGAGATTGAGCAGAGGGCTCCTGCAAGCAGTGAATGCTTGCAAGGATCACAGGAAATTGACAAAGAAAAAGTAAAAGGCATTGGAAGACACAACTGGGATTAGAAACAAGAAATTGCTAGCAGCATCAACCACATGCTTACCTGATTTTCTGGTTCCAACAAAATTGATATGTTCTGAAATGACAGATTTCACAATTCCTGGTGTTTTAAAAGTCAAATTTGCTATGTTAGTTACATCACAATAAGTCACTCCTTGCTTTGCCCTCTATCTCATTTACCTTTGATCTGCTCAGATTTTCTCTTTTAACTTAGTCTTAAAAATAAAAAAGTCTGAACCAAAAAAAAAAAAAAGCCATAGACATTTCAGAATTTCCCTTGGCAATGATTCCAATTTTCTCCTCTAGATAAAAACAAGGCTGAAGTGGATACTTCCTTGATACACACGCTGTGGCATCAGTGAGCAGTGATCATGTCACTGGGCAGTCTCCAGCCTTCCCAATCAGAGGAAAATGTGTGTCCAGTAAAGAAGCATTTCAAATCGAGTTCTTTCACTCCCCCAACTTATGACCCAGCTACTCAGGCACCAACTGCACTCTGTGTTCCCACTGTCAGGATGACCTCTGGCCTCTGAGAGTTGAATCTGGACAGCTTAGTTTCTCTACTGAGAGGACAACTGCACAGCAAATCAGGGTAGAACAGTCAACGTCCAGTTCTTTTTCAGTCTTTTCAGCCACCCTCAGTCTGGATGGACATGGCCATTTTCATTAGCTTCCAGCTGGCCTCCCAGCAGCTCCCTGCCCAGTTTGCCCTTCTTCTCGCAGGAGAGCCTCAGGCAGGTTTCCTAAACTTCTGGTCTCCGGCCCCTGGGGGAAAGTCCAAACTCCTAGCCTGATAAACAGGGTCTTCCACGATCACTCTCCTGGCCTTGCCAACCCCCTCCCAGCCCCCTAAATGCTCCTTTCCATTTCCAGTCCTCTGGACCTTTGCACACGCTGGTCTCTGCCTCTAATGCCCTTCCCTCCATGCTGCTGTGTGTGCCCAGCCTACGCTCTTCCTGCAAGACCCGAGAGAGCACCATGTCCTCTTAATGTTCTTTTTGTGCTCCTTCCACCCAGGAGAGGCAGATCATTCTTGCCTATGGGTGCTGTGTTGTATGGAAACCTCTGTCCCAGCACCCTTCAAACATAGGGCTCACCTCTTTTCACCTTTGCATCCCCCTGTTTAGCCCAGTACCAGGCAAACAGAAAGTGCTCCATAATGTTTGTGGACTGAAGGCCAAATGACCCAGGTCACCAGGTCACTGCTGCCCCATAGAGAGGCCTCTGAAGAGAAAACAAAGTAAGGAAACCATGATCTAATTCATTCATTCAAGGACAACTGCAATGCACCTATTATGTCCTGTGGAAAATATTTTTTCAGTGGTACAAACCTGGTCCCCACATTCAAGAAGCATAGAGTTGCAAATAGAATCTATATTCAGTAGTTTAAATAATCATCCCAGGTGGTATAACCAACTGTCAAGTAAGCTTAGAAAATAATACATACCTGGGAAAGTCAGACAGGCCTGGCTAGGACTCAATTCTACATCTGCCACTTATCAGCAAGGTAACTTGGACAAGTTACTTAACTGCTCTCTGCCTCAGTAAAGTGATGATAAACTCTGGTCTCATCTTCTACCAATGCACCCTCTCTCCTTCTGCTCTAGCCACTCTGTCTTTCTTACTGTTCTTCAAACACTAAAGTCACTCCTTCCCTACTGTTTCTAATCATGATGCTTCTGACATCAAACATGTAGGGTTTTTCTTCACACCACCCAATTCTCCACTCTCCACCAACTGGGTGCCCTATAATTCAATTCAATTCTGATCCTAACTACTCAAAATTAATACAGATCCACAAGGTCTGGGCTCAGTCCCACAGAACTGCTTGCACTCCAGACCCCAGTCACCAAGTCTGGCCCAACCCATCCTTCCAAATGACTGGCTATAAAGTCAAGGGGTTCCTACAGCCCCCTCCTCAGGGTAGATAATTTGCTAATGCAGCTCACAGAAGTCACAAAAGCACTTTATTTACCACCATTAGTTTATTATAAAGGATACAACTAAGGAAAGGCCAAATGGAAGAAACAGCAAGGGATGGGGAGGAGGATTTGAAGAAGCTTCCACCACCCCTCCTCCCCACCCCCCATACATGCCACCCACCCCCCAGCAACTCAAAGTGTTCACCAACCTAGAAGCTCTCCAAACCCCTTCTCTAAGCCCCATCATTCAGGGATTTTACGGAGGTTCCATTCTGCAAGCATGCTTGATTAAATCACTGGCCACTGGCGATTAGCTCCAACTAACTCCAACTCCTAATACCTGCCCCAAAAGTTCTAAACCCCAATCACATGGTTGGTTCCTCTGGCAACCAGCCCCGATCTGGAGGCTATCTAGAGGCCCATCAAGAGTCAGCCTCATTAGCAGAAACTCAGATAAGACAGAAAGGAGCTTGTTATTAATAACAAAAGATGCTCCCATCATTATGACAAAAGATGCATTATGACAAAAGATGTTATTAATAACAAAAGATGCTCCCATCATTATGACTCCGGAAATTCCTCCGGTTTTAGAAGCTGTGTCAGGAACCTGGGACAAAGACTAAACAGGTATTTATTATCACACTTCAGCCTTAGGACTTCCAACACTTTTTGGTTCTTCAACTTAGAACAAGTCCCTGAAATCTGAACTATTCAGGTCTCTACTCAAATCCTACCCCCCAGAGAAATCATTCCCTGACCACCTACTTAATACAGCATCTTCCTCCCCACTCCTGTCATTCCTCAGGTTCTCACCCTGCTTTATTTTCTCCCTAGCACTTACCAGTACCTGAAATAACACTATTGAAGGAAACCAAAATATTTCACCCCAAAATATACTTCTCTGACATATTTTGAGATGGCTGTTCAGAGGGCCTGAAGACAGAAGTAGTCCTACAAAGCTGTCTTTTGTGGGGGGAGATTTGCATCTGTAGAGAATATGCATTGATACAGCCAGGCTTTCTCAGAGGCCCCCTTTTGTCTTCCTCTAGGAGAGATTAACTCAGAGTTTGACATGTTTAAGATCTGAAAGAAATATTTATCCTCTCTCAGGAGTGCTACCTGTGAGGTTTCATCTACATAACGAGACCACCTTTGCTAGCCAGGCCACCCCTACTCTCCCTCCCATAACCTGACTTACCTCCATAACCTGGTTTTGGTCATGCTTCAAGCCCCCATTCCCTCTGTAACCTCAATATGGTATAAAAGTAGGAACCACTTTGCCTTTCTTTTAGATCCTATTTTATAAGATTCCCTTGCCACATTAATAAATTTATATGCCTTCTCTCCTATTGGCCTACCTTTTATCAGGCGATTTTTCAATGAACCTTCCGAGCATGAAAGGGAAGTTTTCCCTTGGCCCCTATCCTATTTATTTGTTTACTCTTTTTCCTGTATCTGCCATTAGGATGTAAATTCCTGAGGGGAGGGTCTTGGTCTTACCTAGAGCCCCTGTGCCTAAAATGCCTGGCACATGCTACTCGAAAAAAATATTTGTTGAATAAATAGCAATCACAAATTATAACACCTACAACAAAGGGTGTTGTGATTAAACAAGAGAGTGCACCATAGAGGGATATAAAATCCTTAATACGATGCCTAACACTAAGTAAGTTCAATAATGTTGGCCAATGCTACCATCAAAGGAACTCCACGGCCACTTTACCTCTCCAGCACCAGACCCCTTAACAGCAAAAAGATGAATAAAAAAGTGCTGGGTTTTCAATTGTTCCTGAACACCAGTTCACAGCATGTCCTTTCTACAGGGTGCTTTTCTGCCAAACCGCGACTCCCTGGAGCTGGGGCTCTCGCTCTGGGCCTTCGCCGCGCAGCGCCGGGAGCCGGGTCAAGGACCGAACGAGGGAAGGAAACTTACTTTCCGACTGGCCCCTTCTCTCGCTGTGATCTGTCTCTCCTGCTCAGGCATCGTCCCCCGCAGCCACCAAATTCTCCCCCGATCCGGCCGACAGCCCGAAGGTCACCTGGGTTGCGGAGGAGAAGCGCGGGGTGAACACCTGGGGAGGGAGGAGGAAGGGGTGAGGGCACCCGCCCGGCTCGGCTCCGACCCACCGAGGCCCCGGGAACCCGCCCCTTCATTAGGACTCGGGAACCCCAGGCGAGGGGTTCAAAGTTGCGCGCCGCCGCGCCCCTGCCTTGGGGGGCGCAGGGATGAGAGCGCCAGGGGACGTGGGGCCTCGGACCGTCAGTCACCCACACCCGAGGGGGGCCTGGCGGTGCCGGCGCTGAAGGTGCTGCCCGGCCGGTGCCTCAGTGTCCCGGGCAGCGCCGGCACCGCAGGGCGGGGGCCGCGCTCCCTCCCGGGTCTCCGTTACCTCGGGCTGCTGCGCTCGCGAGTCGGTCCCCGGATCTCCGGCGTGTGCCGGCGAGGCAGGGAGGGCGAGCGAGCGGCGCAGACCCGGGCCGGAGCTGGAGCGCGCAGGGCTCGCCCACCGCCTGGGGGCAACGTGTGGTGTGGCGCCGCGCCGGGTCTGCTCCGCGCAGCCACCCCTCGGGCTCTGCGCCGGGCTGCTGGGCGCCGCGGGTCCCAAGCGCAGCAACCGCGGCGAGAGTGAACTCTGCACCGGGAAAATCGAACGGTGACCGGCCAGGGCCAGCCATTGGCCTCCAACTGGCGGCGGGCAGCGCGCCGGGGGCGGGGGCGCCCGAGTGGGGGCTTCCAGTGGGGGAGGGGGCCGAGGGCGGGAGCACCGGCTGTCCATCACAGGCCACGCCCTCGCCAGCCCAGTTCACACTTCGGTCCTGCCCAAGGGGGCGGGACCCATGTGCGCCACGACGAAAAAGTTGTCTACGCCTCTGCAGATTCTATTGGCTGGAAGGCCGAGGGAAGCTGCTACCAGCAACCAATTGGAACGCAAAAGGGGCCTGTGGGGGCGGGAGGAAGAGCCGCACCCTTCCTCAGGAGCCAATAGAGAAGAAGAACAGTGAAGCGTTTCCTGAGTTCGGGGGTCGGCGGAAGATGGCGGCCTCCGAAAGTGGTTGGTGTTTGTGCGAGTTGTTGAGGTGAGGAGCCGGTGGTGCGGGCTTAGAGGCGTTTTTTGTTCCGTGGTGGCACTTACCGGTCCAGTGCAGCTAATGTTTAGGGGGAATGGCCTTCCTTGTCCTGAGTTTAAGGCATTTTCTCAAGCCAATGAGCAGTCTTCGTCTTCCTTCCGGAGGGTCCTGGAGATAGGCTTGAGCAGACTAGGTATTAAAGATTCAGTGTACCGCCTTCTCTTCAGCTGCCTCGCTGCTGGCTGAGGGGTCGAGTTTCCCTCCCTGCTTCAGTTTTTCTTTCTCTTGTTTACACTCCAATTAGTCTGTCATAAATTGTTCATATCCATTCCTCATTTTCCTTTGCGATTGAACCACGAAAGATTTCCCAATCATGTCTCTCTTTTCGGTAAAGAAGAAACCGGACCTTCCTTGTCATCTCTTAGTTTCTCCACTTTAACTCCACCAAAACTGACATGTTAACACGTCACTTAAATATAAACCTTATGTTGAATTCTCCGCTTCTTGATATTCGATTTATTCTTACTAATGTAAGAACAGTCATGTAAAATATTACCTTTATTTTTATTGCACAGATAATACACTGTTTCTTCTAGAAAAGTTAGGAAATAGCTAAGAAAAAAGAAAAGTCCCCAGGAATGCTACCATCTGGAGATAGTCATTGTTAACATTTTGGTGAAAAACCTCCCATACTTTTTTCCACCTTTGTTGTTGTAATACTGCTGCATTTTAAATGCTTTGCCCTAAACTAATAAAACAGAAAGCCTCGTGTATTCTACTTATCTAGTGCTTTTCACATCCACATATATTTGTTCAGCTTGAAAATTTATAATTAACACCATAGCTTCCTGAATAGAGGCATGTACATATTCTTACCGAAGTTCAGAGATTTCTTATTCATTTGTGTCCCCTCTACTTCAAGTTCTAGGAATATTATTTAAGACATTCTAAATGGGAAACTCTATTTTCAGAGCCTTTTTGTTCTTCCTGCCAAATGGAAACATTCCTGACTCAGTACGTTACATTATAATGGCTAAATAAATTTGCTGAACAAATGACTCATTGTTGATAAGAGTTGTCTTTTTAAAACCTTGTGTTCAAAGATGGGTAAACATTATTTAATAGTACATATTTTAGTTATATTTAAGCATATTCTAAAATGGGTAATTTTGATGTGCAAATACTGTAGGGTAGTTTAATAAATTTATTTATAGAACCTTTAAGTGTGTTTTTGAAACTAACCATATTCAAAGGACTGGAATAATTCAATTTGAAAAGCCTATCATGATTTTTCCACCTAAATCATTTAGATTCTATGGATCAGCTACATTTGAAATAAAATGAGCTTTTGAAAGCTTGTCCTGGGAAAACAAACTGTCCCATTTACTGTTACTTTTATGAACTCACATATTCCAAATGTTAAATAAATAACAAATCTTACCATTTCTTTTAAACTCTGTTCATCTTTTAAGGCAATGGTTCTAAAAGTGTAGTCCATGGATCCATGCAAGTCTCTAAGACCCTTTCAGTGGACTCTCAAGGTCAAAAATGTCTTTATAATAATATTAAGGTAACATTTGCTTTTTTTTTACTGTGTTGATCAGTGCAAAAGTAATAGTGGATAAAACTGCTGTAGCATGAATCAAGACACTGACATCAAACTGCACTAATATTAGTGTTTTTCATCACTATCACTTACTAAAGCCATGTTTACTTAAGGAATGTCCTTGATGAAACAGTAAAAATTATTAATTGTGTTAAATCTTGGCCCCTTGAGTATATCTTTTTAATATACTTTATAACAAAATGAGAGTATACATAAAGCACTTCTCCATACTGAAGTATGATGGCTGTCTCAAGGAAAACCTTATATAATTGTCTAAGTTGCAAGCTAAATTAGACACTTTTTTAAATGAAACACCATTTTTACTTGAACAAATGACTATCAAGTCATGATGTTACAACATCATGGATGATAGATCCATCCAAAGTACAAGACAGACCAATGGATTTTAATTAATAGTATGGAAAGGATGTTGATAGGTTCAGATTCTGTGTTCCAAGTGACCATTAAGAAATTGCCTAACTAGTCTCATTTGGTATAGCATAAAAGAAGAATATCTTTATCTGAAAAGTTAAATATACATAAGATAAATACATATTAAAATATACTCCCTTTTCCCACTAAATATCTGAGCCTGAATTTTCTTCATATACTTCAACCAAACCAAATAACATGTAACTAAAAATTGAATTTAGAAGCAGAAAGGAAAAGCCATCTTCTGGCTTAATGTTAAGCCAGACATCAAAGAGATTTGCAAAAATGTAAAACACTGACATCTTTCTTACTAAATTTCTCTTTTTGGTTTGGAAAATACAATTTTTTATATAAAAACATTAACACATAATGGATTTATTGTTTTAATGAATTCATAATTTTTAAAAAATTCTTCAGCTTTCATTTTTAATATGCTAAATATTGGTAGATATAATCAGTATAAACTACTGGTTCTCAACCAGGAGTGATTTTGCCCTCCACAGGACAATTGGCATTTAGCAATGTCTGGAGATACTTTTAATTGTCATTATTGGGAGGGTGCTACTGGCATCTAGTGGGTCACAGCTAAAGATGCTACTGAATATCCTATGATTCATAGGACAGCCCCCCCCACAACAAAGAATGTGAGTAGTGTTGAGATTGAGAAACCCGGATATAAACAAAAGCTGTATTGGGTCTTCAGTAATTTTTAAGAGTATAAAGGTATCCTGAGGTCAAATTATTTTAACAAGTCAAATACCTCTTCAAGTGACAGATTTGTTCACAATAGGAAATCTCACATGAGAAATTTATTTTACAATTAAATACCAATAAAACATTTATTTCTCTGAAGAATTCATGTTTTTTCTACTTATGGACTATGAAAACTACATAACTACACAATATATCCCCTGTTTGCTTTGATCACTAAACAAGCAACCCATAGCCCAATCTGCCATTTACTATGTACAAACTTCTAGCCTGCATATCTGTGTCACCCATCAGCCTCGACCCAGCATACACACCATCTTTCACTCTATTTTCCCTGGTCCTGAATTTGTATTATTTAAGTTTTAGTGTTACATTGTTTTTATATCTTATAAGTTCCTCAAATCCTTTATAAGGGGTAGGCAAGGTACAAAAAATATTGTTAGGCACCAACTATATTAGCCAATCCTAAAAGAAAAACATACCTGGAAAATTTAACATATATCCTAAGAGACATCTGAAGAGGCCATAAAATTGTATGTTCAGTCAAATAGTTACTGGATGCCTTCTCTGAAAGGCATTATGTAGGCATTGGGGACACAATAGTGAGCAAGCCTGGGTCCTTGTTTTTGCAGAGCTTTGGTCAACCTCACAGTAATAGAGAACCTTCTAACAGTCAATTTGTGAATGCATTTACTAACATGCATTAAGTAGAACATAAGTGGATTTTTACAGATCATTCAGAGGCACATAAGAGAAGGTAGTAATATTAGATCTTATAAACAGATCAAATGCAGAACTGGAGAAATCTAAGTTCCATTTCTTTTACCCTACTGGAGGTGAAATGAGAGAATAAAAATTATTTACTATCTCATGAAACTTTTAACTAGTGGAAATATTTCTTTGGGTTACATATTGTCATTTTGAGAGCTGGATGCCAGTCCTAATCATGCCTTGTTTAGGTTAATAGTTAGATTGGTGTTTGTTTTTTCTTCCAGAAATCAAATTATGCAATTTATTCTGTAATCAGCTTTTTATGAAAGTGAAACCCTTACCTAGGCATGGACAGGGACCCCTGTTCTGTGTTTGTGCCCAGTCTCCTCTGTGCCCATGCCGAGGAGGTTTTTGTCCCTGAGGGAGGCGCCCTGGGGCATGTCTGGGGTGTGTTTGTTTTGCCTGTTATGATTCCCTTCTCATAGTTATAACCAATCATGCTAACATAGTTGATCGATTTAAAACTATTTGTTGCTTGTTTTAAACAAAACAATGGGCTGGTTGGTACAGATTTTACATTTTGATTTGGTTGTTCTGGTGCTACAGAAATATCCCTTTAAACTAAGCACAGAGATGCCTGGAATACAATAGCAGTGGACCAGGATGCTGTAAATCACCTGAACATAAACTAGTTGTTGGAAATTCAGAGGATCCAAAGGACCTCTCTTCCCCCCCACCTTTTTTTATTTTAGCATATTATGGGGGTACAAGTGTTAAGATTATGTATATTGCCCATGCCCCCCCCTCCTCATGTCAGAGCTTCAAGCGTGTCCATCCCCCAAATGTTGCACCTCTTACTCATTGTGTTTGTATATACCCATCCCCTCCTCCCCCCCTCCTGCCCGACACCCAATAAATGTTATTCCTATATGTCCACTTAGGTGTTGATCTGTTAATACCAATTTGCTGGTGAGTACATGTAGTGCTTGTTTTTCCATTCTTGAGATACTTCACTTAGTAGAATGGGTTCCAGCTCTATCCAGGAATATATAAGAGGTGCTAGATCACCATTGTTTCTTAAAACTGAGTAGTATTCCATGGTATACATATACCACATTTTATTAATCCACTCATGAATTGATGGGCACTTGGGTTGTTTCCACAGCTTTGCAGTTGTGAATTGTGCTGCTATAAACATTCGAATGCAGGTGTCTTTTTCATAAAGTGACTTTTATCTTTTGGGTAGATGCCCAGTAGTGGAATTGCTGGATCAAATGGTAGATCTACTGGTATCGCTTTGAGGTATCTCCATATTGCTTTCCACAGAGGTTGAACTAGTTTGCAGTCCCACCAGCACTGTGGGGGAGTGTTCCTCTCTCTCCGCATCTACACCTAGATTGGTTTTTAATCCCTTAATGTATAGACAGAGTTAGGTGGCTCACTGTTGATTTCTACTGCTGATTAAAATATATTAAATTGCATGCTATGAAGATTGGAATTAAAGGGGACTTACACTTTCAACATTGGACATTTGGTAGCATTAGAATTTTCATAATTGAAAAAAATTTAATACTTGAGTATTTTGTTAGCCAGACTTGCAAACTACAATTCTCTCTCTCTGCTACATATATATATATAAAGTAGATATGTAAAAGTAGACTTTAATTTGTAGTCTTTTTTTTTTAAATGGTCATCATATTGATTTTCAACTTTCTCCTCTTATTTCAGGTTTTTTTATTCATTATTCTTCCCTGGGTTAATTGTATGTGGAACTTTATGTATATGTTTGGTCATTGTCCTTTGGGGGATCAGACTGCTGCTACACAAAAAGAAAAAGTCCATGTCAACTAGCAAAAATGGGAAAAATGAAATGGTGATTGCATTTTTTCATCCATACTGCAATGCTGGTGGAGGAGGAGAAAGAGTTTTATGGTGTGCCTTAAGAGCCCTGCAGAAAAAGTAGGTATGCATCTTTTTTAGCTAATTTGCTATATTGTTACCATCATTTAAAAAATTATTAGCCAGAAATTCCTCTTCCTCTAGTGCTTTGTTGGTATCTAGGAAATCCTTCAACTGTTCAATAAAAAAATAAATACAATAAAATAAAATAAAACTGTTCAATAAAAAAATATTTCTTGCCAGGCATGGTGGCTCACACCTGTAATCCCAGCACTTTGGGAGGCTGAGGTGGAAAGATGGATTGAGCCCAGGAATTCAAGACTGCAGTGAGCTACAGTCATGCCACTATACTCCAGCTTGGGCAACAAAGCAAGACCCTGTCTCTATTAGAGAGAGAGAGAGAGAGAGAGAGAGAGAGAGAGAGAGAGAGAGAGAGAACTGTGTCTTTCATATGCCCACCTGCCTTATATGATCTTAATTGAATTTTAGTTGATATAATAAAGAAATAGAGAAAATATCTGCTGTTTTATGGCATATTTTAATGGGGATAACTAGTCACCTTAGGAGAATATATGCAGAAGAGATTAAATAACAGAAGGATACCAAGTATTGCACAGCACTTTAAACCTGAATACTTTGTCAGTGGTGGTACCAGAAATAATCTCTCTGAAAGCATCTGTCTGATTCTAAATTTGATGTCATTACCAGTTGTATAGTCTTAAATTACCATATTAGAAGGAATATGGTGTTACAAATCATTTAATATTCTAGGCTTCCTCATCCCCACCTCCTATATCCCTAAAATAATTATGATTTCCTTTTAGAAAGAAAAAAGCATAGTAAAGTATAGGTTCCATTATTGTTTAATCATATGAGGAAATCTGTTATCCTTCTTTGGTTACCCTACTGCCTGGCACATACTCTTCATTCAGTTCCAAAGCCTTCACACATAATTCCCTCAGCTATACATTTCTATTTCTTGGCCTAGCCTAGCTTCCAGCCACCGCCACTGCATTTGCTGTGGCGTCTCTGTAACTGCCAAACCCCAAAGAATTCTCTTAAATGCCAGCTCCTTGAAGCCTTCCCTACACTAATCAATACTACTGTTTCCTTATAACTGTGCATTAGCTTTGTCTCTCTAACTAGATTTTCTAACTCTTGAGGGCAGTGGTAAAGTATCATAGTGGCTGCACCCATAGACCCCAGCAATCCCTATTACTCCTAATATACCTACAAGAAAAAAAAAAATCTAAATAATTAGTATGACATAGAAGATACTTTTTCCTCACTCTGGCCACGTTTCTTATCCCTCGAGGTTCCTTCACCTATACTCTGCTCCAGCGTGCTGAACTAGGAGCTACTCCCTAACATAACACACTCCCTCCCGATTCCTTTCCTTTCTATATAGTGTTCTTTTTATTCTAAAATATAACCTTCTTCTCCCCAGTTAATTCCTATAGGTCTTTCCTGACTCAGCATAAGCTATAGTATACTATTCATTTTCACTTTGGGGACCTATTATGCATAAGGCACTGTTCTAGAAGTTGAAATTAAGTGATAAATAAGATAAAAACAGTGAATAATGCTTTGGCATTTTGATCCTATCTAAAGATAGATTTGGTGAATTTAACTCTTTTTTATGAGTATTTTGTTAATATTGTATTGCCATGTTTATACTGAAAACATTGTCAACATATAATTTGTTATTTTTGTTTTTTTTTTTTTTTTGAGACAGAGTCTCGCTTTGTTGCCCAGGCTAGAGTGAGTGCCATGGCATCAGCCTAACTCACAGCAACCTCAAACTCCTGGGCTCAAGCAATCCTCCTGCCTCAGCCTCCCGAGTAGCTGGGACTACAGGCATGCGCCACCATGCCCGGCTAATTTTTTCTATATATATTAGTTGGCCAATTAATTTTTCTATTTATAGTAGAGACGGGGTCTCGCTCTTGCTCAGGTTGGTTTCGAACTCCTGAACTCATAATTTGTTATTTTTTAAAACTGAAAACATTCCATTCATAAATCAGCAATTTTTGTTGATGCCTGCTGTATATGAAACCCTCAGTGGAGGAAACAGCAAAGAACTAGAAGACAAGATCTCATTTGAAGGACTAACACATAGGGCAGTGGAAGATTCAGGAAAGGGTGGTGAGGTCAGTACTAATTCAATGAAAGAAATTTTTTTTCTTTTTTTTTTAATTATTAGTTTTCTTACTTTTTCTCCCCACTTAAGCAGAAAGAAAAATTTTGGTTTTTAGTATAAAAATAAGGTTCTTTATGATTGTGAGAAAATAACTGTCTACAACTTTTTGCTTGATTTTAACCTAAGCTAACAGCGTTCCAAACCATTATATTCTGTTTTAGGTATCCTGAAGCAGTTTATGTTGTTTATACCGGCGACGTAAATGTCAGTGGTCAACAGATACTAGAAGGTGCTTTCAGAAGATTTAACATCAGATTAACTCGCCCAGTGCAGTTTGTTTTCTTAAGGAAACGCTACCTTGTGGAAGATTCACTCTATCCTCACTTCACACTGCTGGGCCAAAGTCTAGGATCCATTTTTCTTGGCTGGGAAGCTCTGATGCAATGTGTTCCTGACGTTTACATTGATTCAATGGGATACGCCTTCACACTTCCTCTGTTTAAGTATATAGGGGGTTGCCGAGTTGGAAGCTATGTTCATTATCCCACTATCAGCACTGACATGCTTTCTGTAGTGAAGAATCAAAATGTTGGATTTAATAATGCAGCCTTCATTACCAGGAATCCATTTCTCAGCAAAGTAAAACTCATCTACTACTATTTATTTGCTTTTGCTTATGGACTTGTTGGTTCTTGCAGTGATGTAGTCATGGTCAATTCTTCTTGGACACTGAAGCATATTCTGTCACTGTGGAAGGTTGGGAATTGCACTAACATTGTTTATCCACCTTGTGATGTGCAGACATTTCTGGACATTCCCTTACATGAGAAGAAAGTGACCCCAGGACATTTGCTGGTTTCTGTTGGCCAATTTAGGCCTGAAAAGAATCATCCTTTGCAGATCAGAGCCTTTGCTAAATTGCTGAATAAGGTGGCTGAGTCATCTCCTTCTCTTAAACTTGTCCTCATTGGAGGCTGTCGTAATAAAGAAGATGAATGTAGGGTAAACCAACTGAAAAGACTGTCTGAAGACTTAGGAGTTCAAGAAGATGTGGAATTTAAAATAAACATTCCATTTAATGAATTAAAGAATTACTTGTCTGAAGCAACAATTGGTCTGCATACCATGTGGAATGAGCATTTTGGGATTGGTGAGTTTGGCCTTTAAACAACTGCTTTGATGCCACGAGATGTACATTTTAGGTTCTTTTGATAAAGTAATACTCTGAAAGTCTGCCTCAAGTCCTGATTCTCTTCCCTTGATCCACCAAGTATGCCTTCCTCATTTGAGACCCTGTAAGACAGTAGTTAGTAACAGCTAATATTTATTGACCATTTACTGTGTGCAGGTCACTATGTTGAGGTTTTTCAAGTATTATCTAATTTAATCCTATCTGATGGGTATTATTATTATTCCTGTTTTTATAGATAAGGAAACTTGGGCATTGAAAGCTTTTTGCACAGGGTCAGTCACTTAGTAAGTGGTAGAGCCCAGATTCTGACCTAGAAACCCCTGCTCTTAGCTGCCACATTTTCTCTCCCCATCTAACCTCGTCTATGTACTTACTGGTACAGATTCCTACAGATGTACCCTAATCCTACTGATTAGCCAAATCAGAATCGCTGGACAGGACCCAGGTAGATGTATTATGATGTATTATGATAAAGCTGCTCAGGTGATTCTGTTGTACATTAGAAGTTGAGAACTGCTGTCTCCAGAGATGGGCTTCTCACAGTAATTCTTTTGGTCATTTATTGATTCTGACTCATTATTGCATTGGCCCCCTCTCTTTGTGCCAAATCCTGTAAGTGTTCAACTTTAACTTCCTTGCCCGTTAGCCTTTCTTGTTTATTCTAGTACAAATTGCTGTCTTTCTTCTGACCTCCTGTTGAGCACACATTTTTGTTATAAAATCAAGTACTGCTTTGTGTCTGATTTGGGTTAGCATATATTTCTCAAAGGCTTATTTTGTGCCTCACACTGCTAGTTGTTAGGGGAAAATAGGGAAACATAAAGTGAAGTTTCCTATACTAAGACTACAATTTCTCGTATTTTTTTTTTTTTTTTTTAAGAGACAGGGTCTTGCTCTATCACCTAGGCTGAGTGCAGTGGTGCAATCCTAGCTCACTGTGATCTCAAACTCCAGGGCTTAAGCGATCCTCCTGCCTTAGTCTCCTGAGTAGCTAGGACTACAGGTGCATGCCATCTGGCCTGGCTAAGTTTTTTTTTAATTTTTCGTAGAGATGGGGCCTCACTATGTTGCCCAGGCTGGTTTTAAACTCCTGGCCTTCTCAGTCTGAGCAAGAGCGAGACCCCATCTTTACCAAAAATAGAAAAAATTAGCCAGGAATGGTGGCACATGCCTGTAGTCCCAGCTACTCAGGAGGCTGAGGCAGGAGGATCACTTGAGCCCAGGAGTTTGAGGTTGCTGTAAGCTAGGCTGATGCCACGGCACTCTAGCTGGGGCAACAGAGTGAGACTCTGTCTCAAAAAAAAAAAAAAACAAACAAACTCCTGGCCTCAAGTGATTCTCCTGCTTTGGCTTCCGAAAGTACTGGGGTGATAGGTGTGAGCCCCTGCCCCTGGCTCTCTTATGCCTTTTTATCCCTAGTTAATGGCAGAGTGCTTGGCCCAGACATTCCGCAGGAACTTGATCTAACCTCCTGCATGGGTTCTGACCTCCTGTGCTTCCTTCCACAAATATTTACCAAGCATTCACTCTATGCCAGGCACTCAAGTAGATGCTGGGGATGTAATGGAGAAGGGAGCTGCTCTGCCTGTCGGAGGATTCCCACCCTTAGGCGGTGCTGACAGGCTACACATGCTGTGCAGCGTGCCAAGTGCTGTGCTAGGAAAGTGCAGGTGATATGACAGCACCGAAGAGAAACACCTTTCACAGACTTATGAGGGCAGGGAGCTGTTGCTCAGCGAAGCGATGTGACACTCAAGCTGGGACTTGAACAATAATTAGAAATTAGCTGGGCAAGAGGGTAGAGTTTCCAGCAGAAGCAACAGCACTGGGAGCACAGGAGCATCAGCAGGCACATTCAGGGGACTAAGTGCAACACTGCCAGAGCCTGAAGGGGAGACAGCAAGACTGTGGAGAAGTGATCTGGGCCATGTCAGGCCAGTGGGAAAGGATGGAAGGACATTAAGTATTGCATTTAAAAGCTGCTTCTGGCTGGGCGCAGTGGCTCACACCTGTAATCCTACCACTCTGGAAGGCCGAGGCAGGAAGATCACTTGAGCTCAGGAGTTTGAGACCAGCCTGAGCAAGAACAAGAGCCCATCTCTACAAAAAATAGAAAAATGAGCCAGGTGTGGTAGTGCATACCTATAGTCCCAGCTACTCAGGAAGCTGAGACAGGAGCCCAGAGTTTGATGCTGCAGTGAGCTATACTGACACCACTGCACTTTAGCCAGGGCGACAGAGCAAGATTCTGCCTCAAAAGATAAAAAAAAAGTTTTAAAAAATTAATAAAAGCTGTTTCCTAAAGTCCATTCTGGCTGCAGCATGAGGAGTGGATTGGTGAGGGCAGAGAGAGCAAGACTGGGAAGGCAGGAAGACAAGTGGGATTGCTACAGCAACCCAGGGGGAAGGTCCTGGCAGACTGAACTTGGCAGGTTAACACTATTGCGAGAGATTCCAAAATCATCTTAAACAGGACTTGGTGATTAACCGGATATGTTAATGAGGGAGGAAGTGGAGGCCTAGACTATGACCTCCTAGGGTTTTGGGGCAGTGCAGCTGTGTAAATGGCATTGACTAGCCCCCAGAGAGAGCACACACAAGCAGAGGCAGTTGGTGAGCCAGGTTTCAAACCTGTAGCATTTGGATTGTCTGTGGGGCCTGTGAGCGTGTGTATCCAGGAGGTAGTTGTATAGAGGATTCTGAAGTGGAGGAGAGGGGTCTGATCTGATAATACAGATCGAGGCGGTGTCCTCATGCAGGTAGTAACTGAATCCCCCATGGGTAGGGATAAGATTGTCTGGGGGATGTGTGCAGAGCGGGAAGAGGCTCTTAGTACAAAATTCCAGGAATGGGAAGAGTTGAGAAGTGGGCAGGAGAAGAAATGGAGGGAGGGGGAAAGCTGGCCACGCATAATGTCCTGGAAACCAAGGAAAAGAGTGCTTCAGGAAGAAGGGAAAAGGCAGATTCCAGTGCTGCCCAGATGTTGGGAGAGGTAAGGCAGTCATTGGTGACCTTCACAAGAATAGTCTCAAGGGAGAAAGGGAAGCAAAAGGCTGTGAGCAAAAAGTCAAAAGTTGAGTGTTAAGAGGCAAGCAAGTGGAGTTAGTGAATGCAAACCACACTGTAAAACGAGGAGTAGGGAGAGAGATGATGGCTGGGGAGGAGGAGCACCTGAGGAGGGGTGTGTGCTTTGGTGCTGATGGAAAGGGCCCGTAGAGAGGAAGGATAAAGTTGATTAGACAGTCTCTGAGAAAGGACCACGGGATGCTCTGCATCCTCAAGCAGAATACAGTCTGAGCTGCTCAGCTGTGTTCTGCAGGGATTTTGCCACTGTTAAATAAACAGTTGGAATGATTTAACTTCTCTCCTAAGTATCTAGGATACAACTCTGTACCATCCTTCAGAAAATTGGGGAAGCAGTCACTTAAATCATTCTCTGAAGGGCTTAATTCTAGGACTATGGCTAAGAAAGGCTGACCAGAGGAATTTATACCCCCACCAGTGTCATTTGGCAGAAAGTAACCACAACTTCCATTCTGTTCAACACTTACTATTGGGCATGCACTAGTCTCAAATGTGCCAGAAATCCAGGCAGTAACATAGCACCAGCAATAATATGCTTCACTAAGATGTTTTATATATTTTCTTTTTCTTGCTAATAATGTAATTTGAACTCTTAAAATTTGCTTTTGTTATCTTTTTACTCCTTTTATCTAATACCTGTTAATATTCTGCCACCTTGCTAACTTTCTCAAGTCTTCTACTTTGTTTAATTATCTATGATATATCTATTTGCTGTAGGCTAGTCTTTCACCTACTTGTCTGTTTTAATTAAGAAAGAAGCAGCAATATTGTGAAGACTTGAAAACTAAACTTAAACTATTTTTTGTTTTCCATCACGAAAGTTAAATGAGCAAATTTATAAACATACAGACATTGAATTAAAATTTTTATAAATCTCTTAAAATTTGAAAGTTTCCGTTCACCCTTGTTCTTGTGAACACACTCAGAAACTTAAAAGACTACATGATTTTTTTTCTTTCTCAGGAGTTGTGGAGTGTATGGCAGCTGGCACAGTCATCCTCGCACACAATTCAGGGGGCCCAAAGCTTGACATTGTTGTTCCTCATGAAGGAGACATAACTGGATTTCTGGCTGAGACTGAAGATGACTATGCTGAGACTATGGTTCATATTCTGTCTATGTCTGCAGAAAAGAGACTCCAAATCAGAAAAAATGCTCGTGCATCTGTAAGCAGATTCTCTGATCAGGAGTTTGAAGTGACATTCCTATCATCTGTGGAAAAGTTATTTCAATAATGCCATATATGTACAAATTAAAGACATTTTATATAAAATAGTTAAATACCTTCATATGTAAATATTTTTCTAAACTCATTCCCTATTGTAATAAAGTCAGCCTATGCAATATTCTTAGCATTATGTATATAGGCAAGATATTTATTTCAATGAAAAAAGGCAAAATTACCAAAATGGAAAAGGTAATCTATGTAGCTTAAATGTAAAAATTTTAGATTAGTATTTGGTCTTAAATTCTGAAAAGTAGGAATCTGAAAAAATAAACTAATCATGAAATTTGCTATAATCTATATTTTTTAAATCCCATTTTTCAAATCACTTTAGGAAACAGCAAAGAAAATTTCCTTTTAGAAGGAAAATTTCTGTCAGTGTCTATTTGTGCTAAAACAAAAAAGAAAAGAAAGGAAATGTTGAAAAAGAAATGGATGACTGACAGACTGATAACTGGCATTTTAGAATTGTTCTGACATTTTTGGAACACAGAAAAATTCTGGTATATTTAAATTCTAAACAATATTGTAGGTGATACTTTTTAATATGCCTATGATTTTCTTGAAAGAAACTGTAAACAGGCTTATTTAATCATGTTCCCAAAACATAGTCAAGAGATGAGACTGATGTTTTATCAGTGTGTATAAGTACCAATATGTAGGGGCCAAAGTACTGCCAGCAATCCTTTCCATAGCTAGGAATTTGTGAAAATTGGTTTTTGTTCAGGACTATCAGCCCATTTGTATGGATCTCTCATTATCCCTTAACAGCTCCACATCTCAGGGGCTGGAAGTCAGCTTTAAAGTCATTCAAGAGAACCTCAAGTCGTTTTTTCTGACAGAGAGCCATCTGTGAAATGCATTTTGAAAAGAGCACTGGACAAGCAGTTAGCATTCCTGAGCCTACCTTTAGCTTCATCTTTTATAAACTTCTGACCTTTGACACCAAAGCTGCTCCTTAATCTTTCTGAGTTCAGAGCCTTCATCTATAATCTGGAGATGTTAATATTAAATACCTATCCTCACTACCTTTTACAGTTGTGATACTGAGGTGGAAAGTGTGTGAAACTACTTTGAAAATTATAAAAGTCACTTTAATTAAAGATAACAATATAGAAAACATATTATGTAATCCTGTCTTTATCAATGCATTGTTACAACTTTATGTAGATTCTTGGTAACTAAGCCAATAGCTAGGAATTGGTATAAATTTAATATGATTTCTATCCTGAATAATTAACATGGAAAAGTGAATATGTGTGTGCATGCTGATAATGGCTGTAAAGACCTGCAACTTTTGCATTTTCTGCATACATAGCGTTTCCTTCTAGTTCAGTGAATTGAAACCCTTTAGTGTGATTCATCTTTGTGTTAGGGGTATGGGAAAGAAGTATATTACTCCTTTGCAGTCCCCTCTCAACTATTCATCAGTCAGGCCAGCTTCATTATCTACTATTTATGTTGTTGGTTCATCTGCAGGCCATCTTCTGTCATCAGATCAAAAAGCAAAACAGTCAGTTGCAGGATGTTCTGATACACCAACTTAGCTTTGTGTTCGAGATGACTCCATTTAGAAAAGAAAGACTGGTAGAAATTGGAGTGAAAGGAACTCTACAAATTCTCTAGTCCAGTTTTCTCTTATTTTCAACTTTACAGACAAAAATTTAAAGAATGTAGTAGACTCCTTCAGTGTCACAAAGCTGTTTGATGAAAGAATCAGGATTATAACCTGAATATACTGACTCCCAGCCCAGTGCTTTTTCTCATTTTATACCTAGTCTTTGAAGTAAGATTCATACTGTTGCCCACTCAATCTCCTAATCTATGCAAATTATGGGACCAAAGCTAAATTGAAATGGACAGAGCAAAAGTAGAGGATGTAGTGAAGGAGGAAAGTATTCCAGAATTCCTCCTGCCTCAGCCGCTCAAGTATCTGGGACTACAGGTACTCGCCACCACACCCAGCTAATTTTTCCTATTGTTAGTAGAGATGGGATCTCACTCTTGTTCAGGCTGGTCTGGAACTCCTAAGCTCAAGCAATCCTCCCACCTCAGCCTGCCAAAGTGCTAGATTTACAGGCTATAGACGTGAGCTACCACACTCAGCCTAGGAATTCCATAAAACTTTTTAAAGCTTTTTCTAAATGATTTTTGTATCACAAACATATCATTGAAAAACACAACTTGCATATATGTTAATTTTGAATGTTCCTAATATGGTGTTAGATGCATTTTTATTATTTCTGGAAGACTGATAAAAGTATCAAAGTGGTATATCAGCTAGAATCCGGAGAACTTCTGGAGGACTAGTCCACTAAAATGTCACTGTTTTCAGAAGTTGTGCAAAACAAAACTGCAGGGTGCCTGTTAGTGAGAGAACTCATAGGCTTGATCTTTAACTATTACTGGGAAACTGTGGGATTACGTATTTTCCTGTTGTTTTTGCAAGGCCGCCCCTTTCAGCAGGTGCCACGCCCAGGTAACTTGTTCTTTTTTTCTTTTCTTTTTTTTTTTTTAGTACAGGTGAGGTTTGGATCTTGCTCAAACTGGTCTCAAACTCCTGAGCTCAAGTGATCCTTCCATCCCAGCTCCCGGAGTGCAAGGATTACAGGTGTGAGCCACTGTGCTTGGCCACATCATTCCCCACACTTAATAAAAATTATACCAACTGTAAATACTAAGCAGAACCTACAAATAATGTGACCAACCCCTCCTCATCTTTGTTTTCTTAGCTTAATAAAGTATCAATGTACTATTTCAGTTTTTGTTTTATCATGGAGCAGATATTTCAAGCAGAATTCTGCTACCTTGAAATATAACCACTCTCTTCTTCCCAGCAGCAGACATACCCCCTAGTATTTGAGGAAACATCTGTTAAGCTCCAGGAACATGTTCAATATTTGGATTAAGATCATAACCAAAAAAATTTAAGTCTAGTTTCCTGCCTCACAGAGTTTACATTCTTAACAAGAAAATGTATTAGCATTTATTAATTCAAGAAATTATTTCTGGCATTATGCTAATAACTATACCTAAAAAGACCATCATAAGCCATAAAAACCAAATATATTCCATGCTCTCAAGAAGTTTATAACCTATACACTTGAAACTATTAGTTCAATAAAACATAATAAAATGGTTATTTAGTGCATAATGAACCATGGCATGCATTGTTCCTCATTTTGTCAATTGCCTTACTCACATGAGTGTCAACATCAGCTTCAAAAAAAGTGTATTCGGTATAACTTAAGACATTTCAAAATCACAGTTTTATAAAATGGCAGATTCATTATTTTGAATGAATGAATCTGTATATTGTATTAGTTTACTATCACCATCCTAACAAATTATCTCAGACTTAGTTAAAACAACACAAATTTATTATCTCACAGTTCTGCAGGTCAAAAGTCTGAAGTGAGTGTCACTAGGCTAAAATCAAGGTGTCAGCAGAGCTGTGTTCCTTCTGGAGGCTTTAGAGAAGAATCTGTTTCTTTGCCTTTCCCAGATTCCATGAGCTGCCTGAATTCCTTAGCTTGTGGGCTCATCCTCCATCTTCAAAGCCAGCAACGTCAGCCTCCGTCCTTTTCACGCTGCCTTCTCCCTGGCTTTTTCTTTTGCTTTCCTCTTCCATTTTTAAGGACCCTCCCTATATTAAAGTCAGCTAATTAGCAAACTTAGTTCCATCTGCAACCTTAATTCCTCTTTGCCATGTAACAACATATTCACAAATTCTGGGGATTAGGATGTGATGATGTCTTTTGGAGTTTGAGCCACATTATTCTGCCTACCACATATATTATCTAAAAGATTGCTTAACAAAAGTTTTAAAGTAAAAATAATAATTTCTACACTTAAAAGTTGGTTCTATTGTCTAACTTGAAAGAAAAATTAATAAATCCTTGAGATTACTAGAAAACCTTTATAATAAATGAACATATATGACTATACTAAAAAATAGTTAATGGATATTAACTTATTATTTAAGAAAAAGTACAATAATCACATTTGTATATTTTAACTGGTTGTTGATGTTCCTTGGTCTTCATCAACAATACAAATTTGCTCATTAGATGGAGTCGAAATATCCTCCAAACCTTCATTTAATTCTTCAAATTTCAGCATGCTTCTCCCCTCTCTCTCTCCTGACTTTTCAGAGTCCTTAGAGGAACCAGAGGCCTCTTCTCTTTTTTCTTCTTCTTTGGTAGTAGCAAGTTTTTCTAGAGATTCTCCTACTTCCTCTCTCAACTCATCTTCAGATTCTTCAAAATTTCTGAAATAAACAGTAAAAACTAACATTGTGATATGAAAGCACTGAAGAATACATAATGTATATGAAAACTAGTTTCCCTTTTCACTCCCCATCCCCACTTGAGCAATATGAAAGTTGCATTTTCACTCAGGTAATAAATTATTTATTATATCAGCCTTGTTTTTCTAAGGGTGATAAACAACCAAACTTAGGAGGATCAGTCTTCTGCTTAGTTGTACTTGTGTTAAACACATTTCAGCATATTTACTAATATCCATCTTATGTTTAACATCACTCTTATGTTTAAGAGGAGAGGAAGAAAGAAGAAAAAGGAAAACAGTTGCTATATATTGGGCCCTTACTACATGGCAGTCACTGTCCTAGGGCACTTACACATACCATATTTACATGGCAGGTGAAGGGGACTGACACAGAGCTGATAAGAGCCAAGAAAATGTGTGTCATGGGAGCCAAGATAGCAGTCAGATAAGGTGAGGACTAAATAATGATCTTATTTGGCAATTTTCAAGGTAACAGTCCACTGAGAGACAATTTCAGAGGAATTCTGTGCAGCAGGAACTGATGTACAGTGGGTTGAGAAAGAAATGAGAGGTAAAAAAGTGGTACTAATGAGTTTAAACTCCTCCTGCAGGGAGCCTGGCTCTGAGAGGGTCGGGGTTATCTAGAGAACCTGGGGGCAGTGGTTTTTTGGCTTCATAAGATGGGAGAGATTTGGGCATGTTTATATGCTAGGGGGAAGGCGGTAATAGAGAGGCACTGAAAATACAGGAGATGCCAGGCTCAGTGTCATACACCTCTGGTCCCAGCTACTCAGGAGGCTGAGGCAGGAGGATCGCCTGAGCCCAGGAGTTTGAGGTTGCTGTGTAGAACAAAGGGAATAAAAAATATGAAAGCACAACTAGGTATTATTGAGCATAGATTGAAAAGCTCCAAATTATATCTAATTAGAGGACCAAAATGGAGGAAATAAGAACAGCAAATATAAAAATTTTCTAGAACTGGCCGGGCGCTGTGGCTCACGCCTGTAATCCTAGCTCTTGGGAGGCCGAGGCGGGCGGATTGCTCAAGGTCAGGAGTTCAAAACCAGCCTGAGCAAGAGCGAGACCCCGTCTCTACTATAAATAGAAAGAAATTAATTGGCCAACTGATATATATATAAAAAATTAGCCGGGCATGGTGGCGCATGCCTGTAGTCCCAGCTACCCGGGAGGCTGAGGCAGAAGGATCACTCGAGCCCAGGAGTTTGAGGTTGCTGTGAGCTAGGCTGACGCCACGGCACTCACTCTAGCCTGGGCAACAAAGCGAGACTCTGTCTCAAAAAAAAAAAAAAAAAAAATTTTCTAGAACTAAAGAAAGTCATGGGTTCTTAAAAGAAAGTGAAGAAAGCAGGATAAAAGACATTTCCAGACCTAAACATACTATCATAAAACATAAGAATACAAAGATAAAAAGAAAATTATAAAAATATCAGGGAGAAAGTTAGCATATCTATAAAAGAAAAACAATTAGGTGAAAGCAGATTTCTTATCCACAATAGTGGAGGCCAGGAGAAAAATAACTGTCAACCTAAAATTGTGTGCCCCGCAAAATTACTGCTAAAGATTCAAAGCAAAATAAAAATAATTTTTGGTATGCAAAGAATAAGAAAGTTTACCACCCAATAACCTATCATAAAGTATTATTAAAGTATATACATCAGCAAGAAGAAAAATTAAACCAGAGGGAAAGTATGGGATAGGAAAAAAGTGGCAAGTTCAGAAAATAAACTATGTTGGCAAATTGAGTTAATTTGGGAATAATAGATACATATTATATCATTATACAGAAAAAGATATATATAAATTTTTGTTTTAA